TCCAGAGGGTCCTGGACAGGCTGGGATCGTGAGACCTTCAGGAAGTTCAACAAGACCAAGTGCAAGGTCCTGCACATTGGTTGGGGCAATCCCAAGCACGGATCCAGGCTGGATTAAAATGGATTGAGAGCAGCGCTGCAGAGAAGGACTTGGGGGTGCTGGTGGATGAGAAGTGTGCAGTGACCCAGCCATGTGTGCTGGCAGCTGGCCTGGCTGTGCCATTACAGGGCTCCCCTGGGAAGCCTGGTGAGCCTTTCCGTGGCCCCTCGTTTTGGGATAGCCCTGTGTGGTGGCACAGCTTTCCCTGTTCCCTCAGGAGCGGGGCTGGCTGTCAGCACTGCAGCCTGGAACTCAGGTACAGACTGTGTAACTCCAGCCCCTCACAGGCATCCTCTGGGGCTGTCTGCAGCTCCACTCTGAAGAGGTTTTAAGACTGTGCTTTGTTTTAAGACTTTTGATCTCCCCTGGAAGCTCAGACTTCATCGGCCTCCTCAACTTCTAAAATTTATTGGGATTTGGTTCCAGCTGTGTAAGGCCACCGGTTGCTTTTTGGTCTGGATTTCTGCACTGGGAGCCAGCTGATGGGTCATCCTTTGGGACATCGGGGTATTTGGGATTATTTTTAGCCTGTCATTGGCAGTGATCTGTACTTGGAGCTGTGGAGTGTCAGGGGCTTTTCTCTTTTGTGCTCTCGAGAAGCTTTCCTTTCCCTTTCATCTGGATGCAGCTGCGTTTCCCTGTGCAGAGTACGGAGGGAAACCAGCTCCAAGGAGCCATCCCAAAGGTTTGTGGGGATCAGGAGCAGCATTGGCCCAGCCAGGGCTGCTCCAGGACCCCCGGGCTCTGTTCTGAGAAGCACCAGGGACCTGCTCCCTGACCTTCCCCAGCCACTTCCCTGCTCGGGGCTGCTATTTTTTCCTCTCCTCCTTCCCCTCTTTTGTCTCGCCCCCGTTTAGCTGTAACCTCGTTCAGGCAGGAACATGGTGTGTGTACAAAGGGCCCAGAACAATGTGCCCCAGATGGTTTGTACAAGTCCCTCCTCGGCAGCCACGAGGTTTCACTCCGCGGGAAAGGAATCTTTAAAAATGCAGATTTTCAGCGTTTTAGACTCGCAGATTTGGGCAGGAACTTCCCGAGCCTTGATATTTTGGTCCAAGTCACTGGTCTGAGACAAGGGGGTAGCACTAGAATTGCAGCTTTTTCTTCTTTTAAGAAAAAAAAAAAAACAACCAACAACTCCTCCCAGCCCCCAATCCGTTTTTCTCACCTTCCTGTCTGTGGGGAAAAGCTTGTAAATGCAACTGGAGCAGCCCTGAACTGCTCAAAACCAGATGGCAAAGAACAAGAACCCAATATTTCAACAAAAAACCCCTCTTTGGGTTTCCAAAGGGGGTGTGGGTTTTCCCCCTTTATGACACTTGCAGTGTTCCTGAGGTTCTGTTTCGGGGGTGCTGAAGTCACTTGCACTTGCCTGCAGTTTGTTTCCCTTGCAGGATCCTGGCTCAGGGCACTGGCCCTGCAAACACCCCAGGGCAGTGCTTATTTGCTTTAAGACCACAGCTTGCTTTGGAATTTCTTCTGCCGAACTTCAGGCCAATTCAGGGTTTGTTTTTTTTTTCCTTATTCGTCCCCCTCCCTTCCAAAGAGAGAAACAAGTTTTCTTAGTCTCATCTTGCATCAGATTTGATCCCTGGCCAAAAAATCCAGCGTAGAAGGTGCTTTCCTGAGGCTGCTTCGCCTCGGTCTGACCTTCTGCGTGAGGATTCCTGTGCAAAATGGAATGATGTGACATCAGTTTTATCTGGGGCATCTTCCCCGTGGGGGAGGACGGGGCAGGTCTGGGTCCCTGGTGCTCATCCAGAGGCTGCTGTATTTTAACAAACACAGGTTTTGTTTGCTCCAGAGCTCTTGGGAGTCCTGGGATTTTCCCTAAAGTTCCTGTTTCTAATTAGGTTGCTCTCAGTTTTAAAGGCCAGAGATCCCTTTATGGCTCGGGGTGGAAAACCTGAGCAGTCACTGACACCGCACAGAGGTGGGTCCTGCTTTTGTCCCGAGGTCCGTGGAGCCACTGTGTCTCCTTGGGATGTTAAAATAGATTCCTCCCAGCCCTTGGCTCATCCGTGGGGAGGCTGGTGGGCTGAGGGAGCATCACTTGCCTGGGCCTGACTCACTCGGATGCGGTTCAGTGACTTCCTGCTGCTCTCACCGCTGGATTTGGGGATGGGGGATTGCAGGGTGGGGGTCTGGGCTGTGGCCTTGCTGGATGTTAACCTGGCCCAGCTGCCTCAAGCTGGGCTGTGGAGCCAGGCCCTTCCAGGAGGGCTGCTCCCAGGGCCGGGCTGGCTCTGAGCAGGAGCAGAGTCGTTTGTGTGGGCCGGGGGAGGACAGCACAGCCCCCAGAGCTGCAGCAAACAGGGCTGAACTCTGCCCTTCTGTCTCACCTCATTGTCTGACATTCCCCTGCAGAGCCCGGCCCGGAACTCTTCAAAGGAAATAATCCCAGCGCCGGGGCTGGAGCTCCCGGGGCTCTGCCTGTGCAAACAGTCTGGGCCTGGAATCCCCCAGGGCTGAGCTCAAGGGTCGGATTCAAACCCCGAACTCCCGGGCTGTGCATCCCCGGCTGCCTCCCCCTCCCGTGTGGGGAAGGTGGCTCCGGGATGCCGGGGCAGAGCTGTGCTCTGGGAGCGGGGAGCTGGTTGGGAATGGCTCCCGGTGTCCCTCTGGAAGGCTGGCGGGGGTGGGAGAGGCGCGGGGCGGCCGGGAGGGCACCGCCGAGTGCTGAACCCGGGGCGGAAATCCTTGGGGGAGCGAAGAATGAGCAGGATGTCACGTGTGGGGCAGAACAAAGCGCAGGGGAGCCCCGCTCCTGCCGCTCCCACCCCGCTTCCTGCTGGCACGGGCCGGGAGCCGCCGCGGGAGGGGGAAGGGAATGGCAGGGCAGGAGCTGGCCCACCTTCGGGGCGGCTGGAGGGCTCTGCCCGCCTGTTTCCCTCTGCTGGGATGTGCTGGGGGCAGCAGGGTGGTCCCCAGGTGGGACTGCTGTGCTCTGGGATGCTCCAGAGGTGTTGTTGGCGTGTGTGGGGAAGGACGGGGCTCCCATCCCACGTGACGACCCTGTTCCCTTATCCATGGACAGGCAGGTCCCACGGATGGGCTCTGTGGTCCCAGCACTCTGCCCTGTCAGAGCCTGCAGCTCCAGCCCCTCGTGGAGAGCGTGGTGGGCCCTGAGGAGGATTTGGTGTCAGGAGAGGGCTGGGGATGGGGGGCAGCCCCAGGGAGCAGCTCCCATGGACCCTCACACGGCGGGTCCTTCCCCCCACTGAGCTGTGGCTTTTCCCCCACGCACCCTTTAGCACAAGAAGCTTTTTTTTTTTTTGTTATTAATAGCTATTGAGAGCCAGTAAAAAGTTTTACAGGGTTTGGCCAAGCATCAGTGTGCTCATTTCCTGGAGCTGACACTGGAGGGGCGGGGGTTTGCTTGGATAACCCCCGGGGTTAACGTGAGGCTGAGGCACTGGGGGCTCTTGGGGGGCATCGTGGGGGCTTTTAGTGGCGTCACACGAGCCTGGAGAGGAGCAGAGGAAGGTGGTGAGGGAGAGAGTGGGGCTGGGAGGAAGGACAAGGAGGGGTGGGAGGCTGCCAGGGGTCAAGCTGGGAGCAAAACCAAAGCTGGTGAATAGTGTGGGGGGAAATGGGGACGTGGGGGGGGGGTCTGTGTCTCTCTCAGTGCCCTCCCGGTGTGTGCCCACCACCTGCTTGATCCCCTCCATGTTTAGCTTCCTGACCATCCTTCCTGCCTCCCACACGGGCATCCCTGCAAGGAGGGACCTGCCCTGCCCCCAGGCAGCTCCTGTGGGAGTCCTGGAGGGAGGTGGGGAGAGCTCAGCTTCCTTTTGGGAACCCCAGTCTGGAATGAGCGAGGGGCTGCTCAGGGGTGTGTGTGGAGCCAGTGTTGTGGAATCATGGAATATTTGGCTTGGAAAGGACCTTTAAAGGTCCCCTCATCCAAGCCCTGCCATGAGCAGAGCTGTGCACAGGAGAAGGAGCTCCCTGGTTTGGGGGGCTGAGCTGGGTCTTCCTTGTTTGTGGGGAATCCCACTGGCAGCACGGGGCTTCCCACCAGCCTCCCTGGGAAGCCCTGGGCAGGCACCCAGCCCTGAGGCAGGGGAGGTGCTGCACCCCTGGGCACACAAGCTCCCAGGGTGAGTGTCACACTGGTGTCTGCCCAGGTGGCTGCCAGCAGCCCAAACATCCAGGTTGGTTGGTGAGAGCAGAGGAAGAGGCAGCAAGGGAGACCAGGAGCTCTCCAGGGAAGGGGGCAGGGTGTTAGGAAGTCCTGGGTTCCTATTTGCCCCAGCCTGCTGGGTCCCAGACTGTTGTGGGAGCCCCGAGCATGGTCATTCCACAGAAACCCGCTGCATCCTGGGCAGGGTCACTGGTGGAAAGGTCCCAGCCCACCACAGCGGGGCTGGTGCTGGGGGGAAGTGCTCTGACTCAGCTTGTCGTGGCCTCTGGACCCACAGGGACCCTCCCAGCCAGGTGAACATCCTCTTTTCCCTTCCTGGGAAGTCCCAGGCCTGACGTGGGCCCCATAATGCAGGATTTACGTGTGTCCTCTGCTCCTGGGGGCTCCTGCAGTCCCTGGCCTGGAGGGCCTTGGCTGCTGCCTCCAAGGGTCTCCAAGCAGCCCCTGCCCATGGGGACACTGTTGTCCCCACGTCACTCCCAACTGGCTCTGACAGTGAGATGATCATCAAGCATTTTGCCTCCAACCATGGCCAGGCTTTCATTTGTTTATTTATGGGCACCAGGCACCTTGTGATGATCCTGATACCTACCCCAGCTCCTCCCACCCCTCAGCTGTGGCACTGTCATCATTGTGGGAATTTTCCGTGGTGCTGGAGGGGCTCTGCAGAGCTGGGGGCGGGAGCCTGGAGCCCACAACCCTCTGTTGCCCTCAGCCTCCTCATAGTAATTTTTCTCCCTCTCCTTTTCCCCAGCTGGGAGCCCGAGGAGCTGCGCTGGGAGGACCCTCTCCACAGGATGTTCTCTCCACCAAAGACCTCCCTGTGAGCGGCGATGATGACAGTCCCGGCGGGACCTCGGGAAGCACTAACATTTCAGTAGCCCTGCACCCTTGGGTGGCCGCCTTCCCCTCCTTCTCCGCCCCCCGCCCTCCCTCCGCTCCCCGGGATGGTGTATTAACCAAGAAGAGCCCTGCTTCTGTCCTCCTCGCCCACCCATTTTCGGCAGCTCTGGGATTTGTATGGCAGCAGCGTAACCGTGGAGAGGCCGGGGTATCACAAACTTATGGATTTTGATAAGAGAGGAGGGAAAGGGGAGCTGGAGGAAGGTAAAAGGATGTCCAAGACAGGTGGAGGAAGGAGCGGTCATGGAAGCCGGGGCACTGGAACCAACTCGGGAGTGCTGATGGTGGGTCCCAACTTCCGCGTCGGCAAGAAGATCGGCTGCGGCAATTTCGGGGAGCTCCGTCTAGGTGAGAAGGGTTGTCTTTGTCCTCGCTGTGCCCGCCGGTGCTGGCATTGCCCTGGCACCCACCTCCTGGGCTGGCAGTGGGAGGAGCTGGCACAGGCCCGTGGCACAGGCACTGGGGTGTTGGTGGGCTGTGCCCGTGGCAGGCAGCCCCTGCTCCTGCAGAGGTTCCTCCTCCACGCTGTGCCTGATCTCCCAAGGCCCAGCCCAGCCCAAAGCACTGACCACAGAGGTGCTTCCCGTCTCCTCCCCCTGCCTGTCACCCTCTGGCTTTGTCAGGGAGAGTGTTATGGTTCAGCCCTGGCTATGGGAGGTGGTGGTGGCCCACACAGGTCTGGGTGTCCCCCCAAATCCAGGAGCACTCCACGAGGAATGTTTTGGGGAATCCCACTGTGTGCTCACCAAATCTCACCCTGCTTGTGCCCAGGGTGCTGCCCTCCCACTGTGCCCAGGAGAGGGGATGTGGGGGTCTGAGGGTGTTCACTGTGCTGGGACAAACCTTGGGGAGGAGGGTCAGTGTTTTATCCTGAGTGAATTCTCCAGTTGTTGCAGCTGGGTGGGAGACTCCCCTAAAATTCTCTGCAGGGGAGAGGAAGGGAGGAATGAAACCCAAGCACCTTCTGTGGCCATTTCCATTTTGAACCAAGTTTATCAGAAAACTCCTCAAGCAAACACCAGCTCGGAGGGTGGGGAGGTTGCTCCTCTCCCACGACTGGGAATGTCCCAGGAGGCTTTCAGCGAGCTGTTAACCCTTCACTTGGCATCAGGCAGCTGGGAGAGGCCTGGCAGTGCCAGGCACCGCTGCTCAGCACAGCCTGGGTGTCTCCAGGAATGCACACTGCATGTGTGGATGGAGTCCCTGCCAGCCAGAGCCTTGTCCTTGGCTGTGAGTGCTTTGGGAAGGGGCTTGTGCCCTGGGAAGGGGGCAGAGGGCCAGTCCCTGGGAGCCTGTGACAGCCACAGGCCTTGTTGCTCCGTGGTGGTTTAAGCAGGGCCTTGCCAAGCCGAGCTCTGAGCTCAGCCTGCCCTGCCTGTGCTCCCCGGGCGGGCTCTGGGTGTGCGGGAGCAGCCCTGGCTGGGCTGGGGTGAGTTCCCCCCTTGCTGTGCTGCCTGGGGGGAATTCAGGTCAGCTCTCCCCAGTGTGACAGACTGGCTGGTGCCAGGCTGACCCGTCCTGTCCCCGAACTTCCCGATGGGATCGCCCGTAATTGCAGGGCTGGGGAAAATGCCCTCTTTAAAATCCAGCCGGGCAGTTCCATGTTCCACACGGCAGCGTCTGTGTCTCCTGGTATTGTGAGGAGCTCTGAGCCTTCCTCCAGACCTCGTGGAAGGCTTGTGGAAGGAGAGGTGTTTGGGAATTTTGCTGCTCCTTTCAGTTCCCGGATGGGTCTGGACACTCCCACTGCCGGTGCCTCCCTGCATGGCCGGCAGGGAAGGATGGGATCCAGGGCTCTGAGCCCTGCAGGGTCTACCTGTGTCCTTCCACCTCCTTTTCCCTGCCTGCCAGCGAGCATCCCACAGTGGATGTGTGGATCTGAGCTCTCTTCCAGGATCCTGCTCTGGGCAGGAGTCTGGAGCTGTGGCTGTTGCTTTCTGACCCCCGCCTTGGCCTCCCCTATTCTCACCAAGGGGACACGAGTTTCACAGGGATCTGAGGGATGTCTGTGGAACTGGCAGTTGTGCTGCTCCGAGCAGAGCCACTGCAGGGCCCTGGGAGCAGTTGGGCTGGGCTTGCTCCTGGCTGGAGGGACGAGCAGGGAGCTCTTCCCCCAGGCACCGCAGCGGTCGATCTCACAGCGAGGATTTGTCCTTGCCACCAGCAAGAGAAGCTTCCAGTCCCTTCACGTGGTCTCCCTGCCCTGGCACACCCTGCAGGGCCTGGCCATAACGTGGTACAGCCTGAGCACAGGATCTCACCACGGCAGGGGAAGCCACAGCTATGTGGCCTTTCTCCTAAAATCACATCTCCCTTCCGTAGGTGTGCCTCCTCCTGCAGCAGGGCTCAGGAATGCTCCCAGGGCTTCACAGGGAGTAGGGATTCCTCCAGCTGCAGATGAATGGCAAGGGACCAGAGGGATCCTGCTGTGAAGTGGTGGCATGAGCAGGGATGCTGTTGCTGGGCACTCAGTTTTCCCCTGGGAATGGAGGATTCGGTCCTTGGGGCAGGCTGGATGTAGGGGCCAAACTGTAGCTCAGTGTTGAAAAGGTCCCAGATCTTCTCTGGACTTTTTCCTTTCTTACCAAAAGCCAGGAGATCTTGCAAAAACATGCACGGAGGTGGCTCCTGCAGCTCCCAGCAGTGGGGGTGGAGGAAGGGGATGTTGTCTTCCTAAAACAAGGTACCACTTGGCCAAATTTCACCACCACCCTCAGAGGCACGTGGTGATCTGTCCTTATGGTGCCTCAGCTCAGCTACCCCTGGTTGAGTCAGGTGTCCTCCCAGGCACAGAGGTGTCCAAAATCAAGTGATTTGTTTAAAGATTAAATATTAAAAAAAAAAAAAGTGGCATAAGGCATTTGTGGGGAGCCAGAAGGGGAATGACGTGTGCGGGAGTTGTGGCTGCCAGGGCTGTGCTGTGGATCCTGCCTCTCCACGTTCCTGCTGGCCTTGGCAGCCTGGGCAAGGCACAGACGTGGTGCCAGTCCCTGTCCCAGTCCAGCAGCACTGCTGGCCAGTTCCTCACTGGAGCAGCACGGCTGGAGAGCTGGGCTGGGGGCTGCAGTGGGGGGGCTGCCCCAGCCCTCTGGGACAGGGGGGCAGGTTTAGGTCGTGCAGCTGCTGGGTCCTGTTCCCTGCTGATGGCCTTGTGCTTCACCCCGAGCTGCTGAGTGCCCTGTCAGCCTCCAGCTGTGGTCCAGTGCCAGCCCAGCTCCTCCTGGGCCTTTCCAATCCCATCCCTGGGCAGTGCTCGCTGCCTGCAGCCCCCTGAGCTGCCCACAGCCAGCCCACCCCTGTGCTGGGGTGGGTGCTGCCCTCTGAAACACCGGGCAGCAGGAAGCTGGTGGCTCGTGTGCCCTGGCACTGGGTCCTGCAGCCCTCGGCCCCTGCCAGCTCCTGTGCCCAGGCCAGGCACGTGCTGCTCCCAGTGAGGGTTTGTTGGAGCAGGCACCCCCTTAGCAGCTGCTCAGGGGGGCTCTGGGCTGGGCTGGGGTAAGTGGAGAGGAGAAAAACTCAGGCATTAACCAGAAAGGTCAAAAATGAGCCCAGAGCACCTGGGTGCTGTGCAGGCCCCTTCCCTGAGCTCTGCCTGCTGCTGAGCTGGCTCAGAGCTGTCCTTAGTCCTGCCTGGGCTGGGCAGGGGGCTCCCTGCTGACCCCCTTCTGAGCCTGGCCCAAGGCCAGTGCCCCGGCCAGGCTGTGCCATGGAGCTGCCCCGGGGTGCAGGGAGGGATGGGGACCTGGCAGCAGCTGCTGCTTCTGTTCTTACTGCAGTAAACTCCTGCAAATGTGCTTTTTGCAGGTTTTCTGGTCCCACCCCTCTCCTCCAGCCCACTGCTTGCATCTCTACTGGCAGCTTGGAACCACAGCAGCTGTTTTCCTTTGAAGTTATTAAAGGCTGGAAATTAATTTATTTTTTAAAGTAAACCCAGGATTTTGGCAGAAAGAACACGGGGGGTGGGTCTGTGTGTGGAGTGTGAGCCAGGGGCAGGTCACTGCTGCACTGTGCCTGGGCCATGTCCCAGCTGAAGGATCTGGGGACATTCCCAGCTCTCCTGAGCTCTGGCTCTTGGGCCTGTCCTGCACCATCCCAGCTACTCACGGGGGGTTACTCGGGGGCCACAAAAGGTACCTTCAGAAAACATGACTGGGTCAGTGCCCTGCCCGTGACACCCTGCTGTCCTGGGCCCTGCAGAGCCCTCCCTCCAAACTCCCTCCAAGGGCTCAGCCTCCCAGAGGTGGGAGCCACAGGCCCAGCACACGCTGGGGGTGGGTCACGGGTGTCTTTGGAGGGGGCCCAGGCACTCCCTGCCTGCTGCTCCTGCCTCCCTTGCTGGGGGCTCACGCTTGGTTTTCCTCCTGGTCGTTCAGAGCCTCCTCTAGAGGAAGGTCAAGCTCTGAAATAGGTCTGGGTTTATTTCTGATGGTGTTAAACCCCTGGTGCTCCGAGGAGCTGTCACTGCTCGGCCTGAGGCAGCTCTGGCAGTGCTGGGCTGGGCCTGGCTGCCTTATCCAGTGCTCCTCTTCCACATCACCTGGCACTGGGGAAGCCAAATTCCTGTCCCAGTGCCCAGCTCTGTGCTGCTGCTGCTGCTGCTGCTGCTGCAGGGCCGTGGCACGAAGGGTCCCAGCAAGGGCACTGTGGTGACTCGATGGAGGGGCAGTGCCAGGCAGAGCACTCACTGCTGCTCACTGTTCCCCTTGTGACAGGAAGGACATGGAAGTGCTGGAGCGTGTCCAGAGAAGGGAATGGAACTGGGGAAGGGGCTGGAGCAGCTGAGGGAGCTGGGGGGGCTCAGCCTGGAGAAAAGGAGGCTCAGGGGGGACCTTCTGGCTCTGCAACTCCCTGACAGGAGGGGGGAGCCGGGGGGTGGTCAGGCTCTGCTGCCAGGGAACAAGGGACAGGAGGAGAGGGAATGGCCCCAAGCTGTGCCAGGGGAGGTTTAGGTAAGAGATTTGGGAAAATTTCTTCTCTGGAAGGGTTGTGAGGTGTTGGAACAGACTGCCCAGGGCAGTGGTGGAGTCACCATCCCTGGAATTGTTCAGAAAGCGTGGATGTGGCACTTGAGGACATGGGTTAGTGGTGAATGCGGTGGTGGTGCTGAGAGTTGGATTTGATGACCTTAGAGGGCTTTTCCCTTCCTAATGATTCCACGATTCCATGTCTCCAGGCTGCCTGGATGGGGCTTGGCTGGGAGCAGCGCAGAGCTCAGCTCCTGCTCGGGCTGCCCTGATGTGCAGGAGCAGGTGCTGGAGCCCAGTGCTGCCAAATCCCTTCGGAGGGGACAGCAAAGCCACCTCTGGTGTTGAAGCCCAACGCAGGCCCAGGCCGGGCTCCGCTGGCGTTGGCTCTGCTCTGCTCCACACGCCGAGTCCTGCAGCTGCTGGCAGCTGGATTGAGAGGCACCCCCAGCCCTGAGCAGGGCAAAGGCCTCTGCAACGCAAATATTTGCTTTCTGCCGCCCATCTCGACACTTTTCTCTTCTGTTTCCTTTCAGAAGCACCTTTTGTGCTGTCAGTCCTGCAGCTCTGCCTGACTGAGGCCTCCTGGGTGCTCCCGAGGGCTCCACATTTTGGGTGTTAAAGTGACCCCATTGTGAGCACTGGGCAGTGTGGGAGCTGCTCCAGGAGCAACCTGGCATGGAAGGACTCTGCATTCCTCCCTCTTTGGCTCTCTTGCTTTTTCTTTCCTGTTTTTTAAATTCTGGTTCTGCTCTCTGTGCCTTCCTTTAGCTGGGGAAGGGGGAGCAGAGGGGGTGGTTTGACAGTCTGTGCTCTCACTGCTCCCCAGCTTGTCCATCAACTGTGTCCAGGCCTCCTGAGCATTACAGGAAGGGATGAACCAGGGGGGTATCAGATGATTTGGGCTTGGTTTTGGGGCTGGGAGGATACTGCCAGCTCCCAGAGCAGTTTTGTGGGTGGCTTTTTGTGCCAGTGAGCCACGGAGGAGGGGACAATGTGGTGGGGACAGGACAGATGACCCCTGACAGGGACAGGGTGGAGCTCTCTAATCCCAGCCCTGCTGGGGATGCTCCATCCCTTCTCCCTCCCTGCTGTGCTGAGCTCTTTTGCAGGTATCCTGACATTTTTTTCCCCTCCATAATTTTTCCCCCTTCAGACCCAGCCTTCCCTCAGGGAAAATCCAGCTGTGAGTTTTCTGGTTGCACGTTCTGCCCTGAAGGCAGCGGTCATTCTGTTGGACTGCAGGGCCCTGTGGGCTCTCTGGAGCCATTCACAGGCCTGGGAGATGTCCCACCTCCTCCCCAGGAAATGCCAGTCCATGATGGGCCAAACCCCCTGGATCTGACACAGGCTGTGCCCACCAGATGTTCCTCCCTCCTGAATCACCTACTCCCTCATCTCTCTGAAGGGATTTGGTTTATGCAGAGGCAGGAGACAAAGTGGCTTGGCAGAGGTCCCCTGGGATGTGAGAGGGTCAGGGAGGCAGCAGGACTGAGCCCCTCCTTGGCTGCAGAGCCCATCCCTGGGAGGAGCCACTCCATTAATATCTCCCATTCATCCCTCTTCCCGTAATCCTGCCGCCGACTCTGGCGCTCAGCAGCTGGCTCTGATGTCACCCGGCGAGGATTTATTGCTGCTTCAGGTGGAGAGCAGCAGTCAGAGCAGATGAAATCTTATGCCAGGAGGAGCTTGTTCCCTAAGCAAATTGCTTGGAGAAAATCCGAGGAGACAGATGCAGCTCCATCAGATACGCAGGGATCGCGTGTCTGCTGGCTCCGAAGGGAACCTGCTGCTGTTAACTCCCACCTCCCCGGGAGGAAACACTCGGATCTGCTCCTGCAAACCTCTCATCTTTGCCTTTTTGGGCCTGGGCAGAGGTTGTACTGACACTGCCCAGGTGTGACCCTTTCTCAGGCACCCCTGGGGGACGTGCAGACACCGTGAGCTCAACCTTTCTGGGGTTACGGGTGTGAAAAGGTGCAGGGTGGAGCTCTCCAAGGGGTCACATACAGGGTGCTGCCCTTCAGCTCCCCTGGGCACTCAGAGCCAGGCTCCTGACCCTCCTTGCAGCTCCTCCTATAGTCTGAGTCATGCCATGGATCTGGTGCTGCTTCCCCTGCACCCTCGGGCAGGTGGGAGCATTCCCAGGGATGAGGTTGATCCACACATGTGTGCACACACACACACATGCACACACGTGTGTGCCATCCCCAGGAGCAACTCCAGCCCTGGGGAGGAGATTTCCAGCTGCCTGCAGTGCCCTCAGACCACTGCCAGGTGCTGCTGGGGGTCCTTCCTCCTGGCCACCCACAGTCCCCTGGCTCTGGCCACCCCTCCCAGAGCCCCTCCTCATGAGGGGAGAAGCACCAAGTCCCAGCCTTGTTCCTGCCTTGCCCAGTCACATCCCTGCAGGCCTGGACTGGGATGCTGCCCCCTCCCAGCAGCCTTGGCTCCGGCCCCCAGCATCCTGCCCATCCCAGAGGAATCCACATACCCCACCTGGGGGTGATAACCAGGCGTGTTGCAACTCCCCACAGTAGGTTCTGCCCCCACTCGTGCCTCGAGGCCTGTTCAGGTGTTGTGGGAGCTGCTGAACCTGTTCAGGATGTTTTTGAGCCCGTGATCCCTCGGGGGCTGTGGTGGGGGTGGTGCAGGGACTGCTTTCCATTGCCTTCTCCTGTGTCTCCTTGCAGGAAAGAACCTCTACACCAACGAATACGTAGCGATCAAATTGGTGAGTAGCTGTCGAGGGGGGTGTTCAGGCCATGGGGAAGGAGGTTGCTGCCCCTCCCCAGGAGTTGGGGAGGGTGGAGAGAGGGGGTTGGTATGTGGTGGATGGGAGCGGGTTGGGATGTGATGGATGGGAGCAGGAGCGGGTTGGGATGTGGTGGATTGGAGGCTGCGGGGGAGCTCCGCTCACCACTCGGAATCCAGGGCAGGCTGGGAACACACGTCATTGCAGGTGGGGTGATCTGGGGCTGGGGAGGGAGGAGCTGAGGCTTCTCCTCTCCCAGCCCTGCCCATGGCCTGTGCTGTGCTCAGCCAGTGGCAGCAGCAGAGGGACCTCAGGGAGGAGTGGTCCCACTGGTACCTGCTCCCATTCATGGCTACCCCAGCATCCAGATCTCCCTGGCCCGGGTGGATCTGGCTCCCATATGGGCTGATTTTCTCTCATCATCCCCTGTGGCTTCATCTCTGTTTTGTACTGGTTGTTCTCAACCCCAAATGCTCAGTCCAGCTGCTGCCAGCATGTGAAGGAGGTGTCTGACACCCAGACCCCCTAAACACCCTGCCCCCCTAATTAACTGTTCTCCTTCTCTCCTCCAAGGAACCCATAAAGTCCCGGGCCCCCCAGCTGCACCTGGAGTATCGGTTCTACAAACAGCTCGGCAATGCAGGTATGGGGCCGGGTGGGGCTGTGGTGTCCTGCCTGCCAGGGACCCTGCTGGGAGAGGGGCTTCCCCTAAATGTGACTCTGCAACTTTGCTCCCGGCCTGAGCAGCTCCTGCCCATCTGCTCGGCGGGGAGGGGCTGGTTTTACACAGAGTCTAATCTTTGATCTCTTTTGATTTAGTTCTCCCCCCCCACCCCCGTAGCAGAGTCAGGGATGCAGATGGAGCTGCCTCCAGGGGCAGAGCCAGGCTGTCTGCAGCAGGAGGGAGGGCAGTGCGGGACCGTCCCCCCTCTGCAGCCCTTGTCCCTGCCCCGCACAGCAGGGCCCTGTTGCAGCCCCACACAGCCCCTGCTCCGTGTCTTGCAGAAGGAATTCCTCAGGTTTACTACTTTGGCCCCTGTGGGAAGTACAATGCCATGGTGTTGGAGCTGCTGGGCCCCAGCCTGGAAGATCTCTTTGATCTGTGCGATCGCACCTTCACGCTCAAGACCGTCCTGATGATCGCGATCCAGCTGGTGAGCACAGCTCCTCCTGCTCCTCCTGCTCCTCCCTGGGGCCCTGCATGGCTCCCCTGAGGCCCTGCATGGCTCCCCTGGCACTCCTGGCTGCCCGGGGGGGCTGGGGGGGGGCTGTGGGCACGGGGGACACCCCACGGGGAGCTGGAGGGAAGAGGGGTGAGCCAGTGCCCGGCAGGTCACGGGAGGCACATCCCAGACCACTCCTCCCATTCCTCACCCCTCCCTGGCGAAGGAGGGCTCTCCTCAGCCCAGCACAGCCCCCTCTGAACATCTCCCTGTCTGTCCAAGGTGCAGCTGGGCTGGGGTTGTCTCCCAGGGCGGGAGGACCTGATGTTCCCCTCCTTGCATCCTGTGGGGATGGTCAGGCCGGGGGGAGCAGGGCAGCTGGCTGGGGCAAGGTGACCAGAGCAGGGGGCAGGGGAGGGGTGCAGGGGTGTGTGCAGGACACAGAGGGTGTCTGTGCCCTGGCACTGACACCTCCCTGTGCCCCAGATCACACGGATGGAGTATGTCCACACCAAAAGCCTGATCTACAGAGATGTGAAGCCGGAGAACTTCCTGGTGGGGCGGCCGGGCAGCAAGCGGCAGCACACCATCCACATCATCGATTTTGGCCTGGCCAAAGAGTACATTGACCCCGAGACCAAAAAACACATCCCCTACCGAGAGCACAAGAGCCTGACAGGGACAGCACGTTACATGAGCATCAACACCCACCTCGGGAAAGGTGTGTTGGGCACCGGGCAGCCTTTCCTCTGGCAGAAGGGGGAGGGACTGCAGGGAATGAGATCCGCCCTGTCAGAGCTGGGGCTGGGCACAAACTGCCTCTCCAGCTCTTCAGGGTGTTGGCAGGACCTTTGGGGTGCTGCAGGGTCTGGGAGGGACAGGGACAGTGTCTGTAGTGGGAACATGCCCGTGTCTCTCTTTCTCTGTGCAGAACAAAGCCGCAGGGACGACCTGGAAGCATTAGGGCACATGTTTATGTACTTCCTCCGTGGGAGCCTTCCTTGGCAAGGCCTCAAGGTAACTGCCAGCTCCTGCTGCCTGTGGGTCTGGCCCTGCCCTAGCATGGGGGGGAGGCTTTGGCCCTCAGGGTGTTGGAGGGTTGGCACCCCACCAGATCTGAGCTCCGTGCCAGGCCCTTGCTGTGCTGAGCAGCTGTAGGGTCCGTGTGTCCCCCCACTTTATGGGGGTCCCAGCTGCTCTCACAGTGGCTCTTCTGGAACTGCACTCCCTGGTGGTTGTCCTCCAGACCTGCCCTGGTGAGGGAATTCCCTGGGAATGAGCTCCTGCTGTTACTTGGGAAAGGGTGACCCAGAAACCATCTGTGGTCTGGCTGCCCCCAGTGCCTCCCTCGTGCTGACCCTCCCTGTCCCGCCAGGCCGACACGCTGAAGGAGAGGTACCAGAAGATCGGCGACACCAAACGAGCCACCCCAGTGGAGGTGCTCTGTGAGAACTTCCCAGGTGAGAGCCCTGCCCTGCCTGGCCCTGTCCCCAGCCCTGTGCCCAGCCCCTGACTCCCTGTCCCCGCAGAGGAGATGGCCACGTACCTGCGCTACGTGCGGCGGCTGGATTTCTTTGAGAAGCCCGACTACGACTACCTGAGGAAGCTCTTCACGGACCTGTTCGAGAGGAACGGTTACGTGTTCGACTACGAATACGACTGGGCAGGGAAGCCTCTGGTGAGTGGGGAGGGGCTGGGTGGGACAGAGGGCACCCTGGGGGGCAGCGGGGTCGGAGGGAGCAGCCAGGGAGGATGCAGGTCCCGGCCGTCCCCTGTGCCCGAGGGATTGGCTCCATCCATCCTCACCACTCACCAGCTCCAGGCTGGGGCTGTTGTGCCAACGGGTCAGAGCTGTGACACAGCTGGGATGGGAGGCTCCTGGAGCCAAGGGGACCCCAGCAGCCAGGATGGCACCTCACTTTCTGCCATGGGCACCCTCTGTGGGCTCGCTGCAGCCAGATAGCACACGAGGAGCCACTGGGGCAGGGGTGGGGACTGGGATCAGGCCCTGGTTCTGGGGGGGGTTGTGTGTGTGGGCAGAGGTGGGATCGGGGTGCAGGGCAGCGGGAGGGCTCCATGCTGGCACTGATGTTGTCCCTGTGTCCCCAGCCCACGCCCATTGGCACGATGCACAGCGAGGTGCAGGTGCAGCCCCCGAACAGAGACAAAGCACAGCCACACACCAAACACCAGGTGAGCTGGGGCATGGCCGGGGCACGGCGACCACGGGCTCGGGCAGCCTGGGCTGCGGCTCCGCGGGCACGGAGGAGCCTGGGCTGGAGCAGGGACTGGACGTTCCTTTTCCCCCGGTGCTGTCTGTGGAGAGCTCCCAGCACAGCGCGGAGCCTGTGGCTCATGGGGGCCCAGGGCAGTGTCCCTGTGGCCTGGCAGAAGCAGGAGGAAGCACCGTGGGGGCTGTGGCAGGGCCAGGGGGTGCCAGGCCTGGGCATCAGCCACTGAGCTGCAGGGTCAGCCCGGGATGATGGGTGAGGGAATGGTTCAGGCTGAGGACCTGTGTCCCCAGCACCGTGTCCCCATGGGGTAACTCACTGCTCTGCTTGTGGTGCCACTTCCATTGATGGGATGGTGACATGGGACAAGGGAGGGCAGGATTGGTGGGGCAGCCTGGCAGTGTTTTGCCCTGTGCTGGGGCTGCCCCTGCCCAGGACATGGGGAGCTGAGCTGGGAGCAGCCCAGGGCAGGGATCAGGCAGAGCTGTGCCGGCAGCTCCCTGCCTGGGTCGCTGTGGGAAAGGGGCTGCACTGCCCAGCCCTTCTCTGGGGCCAGTGCCATGGCCTGTCCTGCCCCGGTGCAGGACACACAACTCTGGGAATGCTGGCACCCAGAGCAAACCTCGTGTTTCCCAGACCCTGATCCTTTTGAACCTCCATGAGGAGCAGAGGTCCTGCAAAGGAGCTGGAGCCGGGGGTGCAGCTCCCTGTGCTCCCCACCCACACCCCGGCCCAGCAGTGCCCCTGGAGCATTCTGGCTGCTCCTGGAGCCTGGCACAGCCCTGGCTCTCACTGGCCAGGGGCTGGGAATCGCTTCCTTAGGGAGAGGGAAACATCTTCAAATCACCTCCAGCTCATTCGTGGGAACTCACTCCCAGCAGGGTCTGCTCTCTCCAGCACCACGTTCGGCATCCCTTCTCCAGAGCGCTGGGAAGAGCAAAGCACAGAACTCCTGGAGCATGGGAGCAGTGTCCAGCCTGGGGACACAGGGTGTCCCCACAGCCTTGGGGCTGTGCCCTGCTCACCAGGGGAGGGTTTGGCTGTGGGAACAGCCGAGCATCCCCTGCCCTGGAGGAGCAGCACCCTTTGCTCCACACCGGCCCCACCAAGCTCTGCGTCGTCCTGGGGACATGGAGAGCGGCTGTGGCACCGCCTGGGCCCGGTTCTGCCGCCCCAGCCCACTCCCAGACACGGGGCTGGCCCTGCTGCACCCTGCCTGGGGTGGCTGTGAGGGGTGGCAGGGGGACACAGCCCCCGGTGTCACCGCAGGGACCTCTCTGGAGCCGCCGGGTCGGTGCTGCACCGGGCGCCCTCCGCAACCACAAACCCGAGCTGCCCCGGTCATGGTTTTGCTTTTGCATGTCTTATTTTCTCGACTCCCTTTTTGCCACTTTTCCCGCCCCTTCCCCTCCACTCCTCCCTTCTCTTCCCCATTCTTCCTCTTTTTCTTTTGTTTTCTTTTCATTCTGTTCCTCCTGCCTGTCGCGAGCAGCCGCCCGAGGGGACGGAGTTGTGGGATCCTCAGGCCGGTGGGCAGCCTGCCGAGGAGCCTGTGGGAGCTCACCTGGCAGCCGGCAGGCTCGGGGGGTCCGTCCAGGTACATAAACCACGCGCCGAGGGCAGGGGCGGGCGCGGGAGGGAGCGGAGCCACCCGGGATCAGCCCCGCTCCCCCGCCCCGGGGCCACGCCTCATCCCGGGCTCCTGCCTCATCCCGGGCTCCTGCCTCATCCCGGGCTCCTGCCTCGGCTGCAGCACGTGCTGCCTGTCCCCGGTGTGTGACGTGACGGTCACGGCTCGCAGACGAGGCTGGTGCTGCTTCCCGGGGGCTGCCAGGCTCCCTTGGTGCTGCTGAGGGGACTCGGAGGGCAGTTGGAGATGGATGGATGGATGGATGGAGCACTGGCTCTGTGCCACACAGCAGTGTGGCAGCTGGGGGGGCATCGTTCAGTGCCGCTCGTCCCAGCAGTGCCCGACGAGCAGGGCACCTCCCTGAGTGGAGCGCCGGCTCCGACCCTGCTTCTCCTCCCTTCCCGGGCGCTCCCTGGCCGCGCGTCCCCGCCTCCGTCCCGCACTCGCGCCGTCAGCCCCGTGCTCTCCGCCCTCGCAGCCTCCCGCCCGCTGCCGCTCTGCCCCCCCGGGCCTGGGGGTCCATTCCCGCATGGATGGTGGGACATCCATGTGCCGAGTCCCCCCGGCCGGGCCTGCGCTGCTCCCTCCGTCTCTGCTTCCGTCCCCGCCGCTGTTGCTCGTTCCCGCTGCTCCGCGGTGATGCTGGTGCTCGGTCCTGCTGGGGCCCTCCTGCCGTCGCGGGGCCGGGCAGTCCGGGGGGAGCCGAGGGACCTGCCCCCCTCGAGCTCTGCCCGGCTCCTCCTGTCCCTCCTGCCCCTCCCCTCCGCTGCTCCCGCTCCCGCCCCGCAAACCCTCCTGCCGAGCTCCGCCTGCGCCCGGCGCTGCGGGGAAGGGGTGGGGGACACGCTCGGGGGTCTCCGCGCTGGTTTTGGGGGGCTGTATCCTGACGTGGCCCCGCTGGCTGGGCACTGGCTGTCGGGTGGCAGCTCCTCCGTGGCTCTGGGAGAGGTCGAGACCCTCAGTGGGGCCGAGCAGCTTGGGGAGCCTCCCTGTGCATCCCCAGGGAGCTCCTGGCTTTGCCTGCGGGCAGCGGGCGCAGGAGGGGGGGTTCAGGCACCTCCCAGTTGCCTGTGCCGGCCCTGTCCTTGCTTTGGTGGCTCGGGTGTCCCCCCGAGCCTGGCACTCGCCCGACCCTGCTGCCCTGGCGAGTGGGCAGGAGCTCAGAGACCCCTCGGGCTGGGCTCTGGGCTGGGTCCTGCAGACCCGGCAGTGCCGGATCTCGGGGCCGGGGAGCAGGAGCTGTGTCCGGTTGCTCAGCCGTGGGAGGGTCTCCTTGGAGCTCGCGGCTTCCCCGGGCTGTGTCTCCTGCACACGCCGGAGCTGCCGGCAAGCCCCTCTCCCGGTGGGATCTGCAGGGGCTCCCTGGAGCCGGGACCCTCCCGGAGGCACTGGGGTCAGACCCCTCCGTGTCGGTGCTGTGGGGAGGGCTCAGCACCGAGACTGAGCGCTGTGGTCTGAGCCAGGGCACCATCCTGTGCCTGCAGGGACCTCGGTGCTCCCGGGGAGAGCCCGGGGGTCTCCTGAGCTGCCCCCCCGCCGCGGGGAGGGGACGGGGCTGCGACCCCCGGGCTGCCCCCGCTGACGCTCGTCTGTCCCCAGGTGATGAGCTCCACTAACGGAGAGCTGAACACAGACGACCCGACGGCAGGACACTCGAACGCCCCCATCACAGCCCCCACCGAGGTGGAGGTGACAGACGATACAAAGTAAGGCCCGGCCCCGCTACCCCTCCCCGGGGCCACGCTGGGGGTGGGTTCGGTGCCGCGGTGCCCTGTCCTGTGCCCTCCGGGGAGGAACAGCCCAGCTGTCCCCTGGCACCCCCAAGGGACACCCCACCCGACCCTTCCCACCTCGCTCCTGCACAGAGGGGGTGCCCAGATCCGGGCTGCTCCTTCTCCCGAGCCCCTGGCTCTGGCCACATGGCCGGCACTGGGTGCCGTGGCCAGTGTCACTCCCCTGGTTGGTGCCACTTGCTGTGAAAGGTGTCACTTGCCGTGGCCATCGTGGTGTCCCCAGTGCAGCCCCTGCCATGTACCGGGGGCACTTCCCAGAGCAGCTCTGCCCACGTGGGGGTCTCGCCAAGACACCGAGGGGTCTCTGTGCCCCCTGACCACGGGGTTGCCGCGTCCTCTGTGCCCGACCCGGGCTCTGACGGGTCCCTCTGTCCCCAGGTGCTGCTGTTTCTTCAAGAGAAGGAAGAGGAAAACCACCAAGCGTCGCAAGTGAGCCGGGGCCGGGCGGAGCCGCGACGGCTCCTCTCCCTCTGGCCGTGGCTGGATGTTGACCCGCGGAGCCGGCGGCCCCTCGGGCTGGACGGGGACGGGGGGGCCGGGCCGGACGGGCTCCCCCAGCGCCCCACGCGCAGCTGGGGAGCGGGGCCTCCCCAAACTGCTTGTCCTTTCCTCCGCCACCCGGCGCGTGGCCGTTTACTCGAACCAAGCCCAACTTCGCTGAAGTTCCTGCGTCCGTCAAACAGAAAAAAAAAAAGGAAGAAAAAAAAGGAAACCGAAACAAATCCACGGCGTCACTTGCTTTGAGTCTATAACTAGTCTGAAATGGGGATCAACTACAGACTCTGACCCGTCGCTGTCAGAAGAAGACGAAGACAATTTCGAGAGCAGTGGGCTAAGGAGGAATTTTTTTTTCTGTTGCTTCTTTGTCTCTTAAGTTAATTTAAAGTGAGTCTCGGTGCAGAGTGCTGAGTCGTCAGTCTTTGACCGTCATCTTCAGTGTTACCGAATTCTGCTCTTCCCTCGGGCCCCCGCCCCGCGCCCCCCGCCGGGTCCCCCCTCGGTCAGGCCGTCGGTGACAGCGGTTCGGGCTCCGCCCGGCGAGGGGGAGCCGGGGCCGCGCGGGGCGGGGAGAGGAAACGCGTTTACAGTTCATTTACGATGCACTTTTGTGAGCAATACAGGCGCCGTCCGGGCCCGCCGGGAGCGGGTCGGAGACTCCCGGGGGCTGGGGGGACACAGGGACAGGGACGGCCGAGACCAAAGGGACCCACGAATGGCGGTGGCAGAGCAGGGAGGGGAAGCGGAGCAGCCTCGCGTGTGGCGCTGCCGCGTCTCGGGGCTGGATGTCGGAGGGGTGGGCAGGGGCAGGTTGGTTTGTACAGTCTGAGCCCCCCGAGGCCCCGCGGTCGGGGCTGGAGGCACTTGGTGAGCGCCGGGCAGCGAAGGGCAGCGGGGTGTCCCAGCTCTGCCAGCGTGGAATTCCCTCACCATGGCAGCCTCCTGCCATGGCATCCTCCCTCCATGGAATCCTGCACCGGTGCCAGGGCCCAGCCTGCCCCTGGGGGGAGGAACTGGAGTTTTTGGAACTGACACACACACACACCCCCACCCCCCTTGCTCCTCACCACCCCCAGGGCACCGCAGCTCCCCACGTTACTGACCCCGTGCGCTGTCGTGTGTATTGATTGTGACACATTTTGGGGGGGGGACACACACTTATCTTTACCAAAACCCTGTTGTTCTGCCCCGAGAGGGGCTGAGGCTGTGCTGGGGGGGCGGGGGGATGGGACCATCTGTGGCTGCTTCGAAACATTTGTCCAAACTGACCATCTCGGGGGGCTGGGGGGGCACGGGGGTCTCCCGTGGGGGCCCTGGGGAGGGAACTGCGCCGGGGCCCCTCTTGGTCCTGAATTCGGGATGTCAAAGCCCGGCTTTGGCTCCTCCGGGCAGGGCGGCCCCAGCTGCTGATGTGTCTCTGGCCACGGCGGGGAGGGGACGTGCAACGTTTGACCTCGTGTCCCCAGCGAGGCGAACAAACAAACAAATCTTAAAAAAAATCGCCTTAAATTTTCACTGGAAGTGGCCCCTTCTCAGCACGTCGGCTCGGAGCAGCCCCGGCGGAGCCCGAAGAGGAGCCGCGGAGGGGAAGGGGCGCGGCCATCGGGGTGTTCCCGGCTCCGTGTTCCCGGTATTCCCGGTGTGCCCGGCTCCGTCCCCGGCCCGAGCCCGGGACTCTCTGTCCTTCCAGCGAGGAGTCCAAATACTGCGATTGTACGTGAGAGCGTTTGTTCCATTGCGAGTTTAGTTACTGCTTTAAAAAAAAAAAAACAAAACCAAGTGTACAGAAACGGCATTTCAATTTCTCTGATGCTTCCTGGAAGCCATAGAATTTAGGGGCTTTTTTTTTTAATAAAACCAAAAAATAATAATAAAAAAAATCTTTAAAACCCAACGCTTCTGCATTCTGTGCTTGATTGGGTGGGGTGGGGTCCTTGTCCCCGGGGGTGGTGGGAGCAGCCCCAGGCCCCCCACCCGTGGGCCTTTCCTGCTGCTGAACCCTGTGGAGTTAAAGATCCATCCCCCCATCTCTTCTTTCCCGTGGGGCAGCGGGAGGAAAGGCTGAGAGGTGGGATCAGGGGAGCAAATCCGGCCTGACCCTGCCCAGGCTCCCGGTGGACGCTCCCGTAACGCCCACGAGTGAGGAAGGTGATGGTGCGGGAGGGCAGTTCCCAGTTGAGCCCAGGACAGGGTTCAGAACTGGGGGTCCAGGCTGAGACCACACCCGGGGCTGGGCTGTGGGGAGCCCTCGGCCTCGCGGCTGAGGAGGAGGGAGGACAGGGCGTTGTGCTGAGCCAGGCACGATCCAGCCACGGCCACAGCCCCGTGTGACAGCACCGACCGCGCTCGAGCAGAGGGGCCGGGCCGGGCTGTTCCCGCTCCCGGCACTCCCGTGCCCGGGTGAGCAGCTCCAGCACAGCCAGGAAAGGGTGGGAAGCTGCTCCCAGCCCGGGGGGGTCACGTTCAACACGGCCCTGCTGCTCCCTCGGGCGAAGGGCAGAGCCCCGGAGACACAGGAAGGGGCTGTGCCGATCCCAGCCCTCATCCCTGCTCCAGCAGGATTCCCTGCTGGGAATCCCATGGCAGGGAGCAGCCCTTCACCTCCAGACCCGGGCCTGCCCCAACAAAGGCTGAGGCAGCTTTTAGTGCATTTAATTGTCAAGACCCTTCAATTAAGGTTAAAGAAATTCAGTCATCAAAGAGACCAGAGAGCGCCCACCCAGCACCATCCTGCTCCTCCCCCAGACAAACACAGGATCCACCAGAGCCTCATCCCCGGAAGGTCTGGGCTCCCCCATCTTTGGGATGCCCAAGGATCTGGCTCATCCCACACCCCATGGAGGGGGAAGCTGAGGACCCCTACCCTGGGCTGGGGGAGAAGGGCCAGGGGAGCCAGCTCAGCACAGATTCCCCCCTCCACCTTCCTCCCCTCTGATATTCCAGCAGATGCTCAGATCACACAGAAACCTCGTAAAGACAACCCGGGTGTCTTTATTGTTTCCTATTTACAAATCACAAAGCTGGCCAGAAGCAGAGTGTGAACACGGAACGAGAGCATCGGATACATTCATCAATAGCACGGAGGGGACGGCCCCGCTCCGCTCGGAAGGTGACGTGGTACAACAGGATGGCTCATACTTTGGGAACAGGCATGTCCAACAAGGAATTACATTCATCTATCTACAAAAGCCAGAATTGCATCAAACTGCGGGAAAAGCCGTTAAGAACAGAAATTGCTCGGGTGTAGTTCAGAGTTTGACTCCTCTCCTTCCACTGCCAGACCTGCCCCGGGGGGGGAGGGCAGGAAGGTGGGATTTGGGATGAGAACTCACGTAACAAAATAAGAGAACAGATGCTTCCAGGGAAGGGCAGCAGAGAGGGCACCACCACGGCCGGGCAGGGCCAGCCCCACCCTGCTCTTCCCAGAGCCGAGTGCGCAGCTTTGCTTCTCTCAAATTCCATCATTCCACTGTTTCCACCTGTACAAGACGCCCCGAGGTGCAGAACCCAGATCAGCCCCCCCGGGGAAGGCACCAACAGGGGCCCTGGGTGCCAGCAGTGACGTCCCCACCACCTCTGGGAGAGGGGCAGCAGCAGGAGCAGGAGCAGCTTATGTACATCCCGAGGGTGCCCGGGCTGTGAATCCACCTCACAACACTGTTTGCATTGCACAGTCAGGTTCAGTCACCAAGTCATGGACCCACTTGGGATTTTTTCTTCTTTTTTTTTTTTTTCCTTTTTTTTCTTCCTTTTTTCTATTATTTTTCAGTACTGGCCATATCAGAACCATCCCACTGGAGTCAGGCTGACAAGACAGAGCTTACACTGTGTTCCTGGAGATCGGGACACGCTCTGGGAATCTCTGGCAGCTGCAGGGGAGGAGGTGCAGGGTGATCCCAGCACCCAGCACAGCCCCAGGACTGAGCCAGAGGAGGGGATCCCCTTCCCCAGCAAAGGAGCACCAGCCAAGGACAACCAGGTTTCGAGTTCCAGCAGTGAAATCCTGTGGCAGGAGGGTGACAGGGCTCCGTGTGATGGAGCAGAGCAGGGGGTCCATGAGGGGAACCTCAGCTCTGAGGCAGCACCACCCTGGCCAGTCCCACGCAGACTCTGCTGGTTCCAGTCCTACAGCCAAGCTGAGCTTAATTCCAGCTTCCTTTGCAGAGCAGGGCAGGAAGAGTCCTGTGGTCTTCCCCAGCAGGCAGTGACCAGGAGCAGCACCCACCTTTCCCCACTCTGGGGAGCAGCCAGCCCTGAACGGGTACAGAGGGGCATCTTCGAGGTCACTGAGCTCCACAGGGGATGTTGTGAGTGCTGCATCTCCCTCCTGGGCCTGCCCCACAGGCACTGGGCACACACACACTGGCACGGAGAACATTCCAGGTTTTCCTGAACCGTTTGGTCCATCCTTGTCCATCTGCTGCGTTACCAGGCACCAGGCAGGGGCACATCCAGCCTCTCTTCCTGCTCCCACCAGGGCAGGGCAGCAATGCACAGGAACAGAGGAAAGGGATGGAACCAGCAGGAGTGCCCAGGAACAGGGGGCAGGTGAGGCAGGTGCCCTTCTGCTTCCACTGACAAACCCTGGTGGCTCTGAAAAGGACCAGCACAGCAATGACCAGTAACAACCAGTAACGACCAGTACAGGTGCCCTGTGCTGGGGCTGCTCGGGGGTGAGCTGAGCATCCCCCAGTGCCTGAAACAGGGGTTTGGAAGCAGCACCATGGGGACTCAGGATGCAGGAGGGCCTGTCCCTTCCCACTCCACAGGGAGGTCACCTTGCTGTCACCAACTGATTGTCACAGATCAGGGAGAAGAGCAGGAAAACGCCGCGGTCCCTCCGGCTGTGGTTGGGTTCGAGGTCTCCCTCAGGACTATGTAGTGCTGGAACAGCAAAGCCTCAGGGAAGAGGCCACTTTCCTCCAGTTCTGAAGGTGGCTGTGTGTGCTGAGGCTGCAGGGAGGGAGGGAGGGAGGTGCTGGGCACGGGCCGGCCAAGCCCCACGGTCTGGCCTCGCCTGCTGAGCTGGAGCAGAGGACGGGCCCCCAGCCCTGCCCGTGCCTGTCTGCAGGGTGACCTCCTGCCAAGTGAAACCACAACCAGAGCCACTCATTTCCTTGCTTCTGACTGGTGGAAAAGCATCTACATTCATTACAGTCCAAAAAAAACGCACGTTGTTAGATAAGGGTTAATCAGGAGGTGAGAAACAACAAGCCACAGACAACCTACGAATGGGACTGGGACACCAGCTCGCCTGGCACTGGGACACCAGCCTGGCTGGCACTGGGACACCAGCTCAACTGGCACCTGAGAGCAGCAGCAGCACTAGCACAAGGCAGAACATGAGCTTTGAAATGATTTCACCAAGACCTTTGGCTAGTGTGGCTCCAGTTGGTGTGGTCAAACTCAGCCAGAGATTCAGTTCGGGAGGTGCCGGGGGACAGTCGAGTCCAGGGCGGGCTGGGAGCAGCACTATGTGTAGAAGATGATCTCTGGGATTTGTCCATCCTCCACCGAGGTGCCGTTGTTGTTCCCAGCCGCGTAACAGAACGTGAAGCAGGTTTTGGCTCCCGTTGTCGGGGATTCGTGGATCACTTTGCGCAGTCCTTTGGTTCCATAGTGGGAATCTGGACCCTGTGGGGGTCACGGGAGACAAGAACAGGTCAGGGCCCTGCTGCTGCCCAGGATCTCGGGGGGGGTTTGGCCTCACAGCCTGGCCTGAAGCAACGAGCTTTGGAGACCTCAGTTCCTCCCTCCTGCTCCCGGATTTGCACCTCAGGTGCTCTGAGCTCAGTTCTCCTCTCTGTCAGAACTTATCACTAATTTAACCACATCTGAACAGCTAAACATGAACCTTTGGAGGCCACTGCAGCAGGCTCTGGATTACACACCCCCAGAACTGACACCAAAAAACACTCCCATGCCCTCCTCAGTGCTGTGAGACCAGTCACACGCCGGCTCTGGATGCTGGTGGGGAAGCAGCTCATGGCAGCACCAGGCGAGGGATCACACCGACCCCTGAGGTTGGACCACAGGCCTTAAAGAAGGCAGAGCAAGGTCTGTGTTGCACTGAAGGCCCCGAGCAGCTGCCCCCTCCACCCCCCAGCCCACAGGGTACCTTTAGGGTAGCACAGGCCGTGTAGTTGACGTTGGGCAGGATCTCCACGGGCTCCTTGAACATGACACGGAAGGTGTTGGAGGATCCGTCGCAGCTGAAGCCGGTGTCGTTCTGCCCCAGGACCGTGTTACTGTCCGTGTGGATGATCTGCAACAACGTGGCAGCCCCTCAGAGAACAGCCAGAGCCTGCCCTGCCCCTGCACAAGGGTGTCCCTGTGCTGGCTGGACCAGCCCCTGGACCAGCCCTATCCGACTGCATCCATCTCTTACGTCCCCTGTCAGTGCTGTGACATGGAATGGTTTGGGTGGGAAGGGATCTTAAAGCTCATTCTCATCCCACCCCCTGCCATGGGCAGGGACACCTTCCACTAGCCCAGGTTGCTCCTTTGATCCAACCTGGCCTTGGACACTTCCAGGGATGGGGCAGCCACAGCTGCTCTGACACCTCTGATCTCGCTGGACTCGGGTCCCAGACACCCCCTCCCCACCCCAGCACTGCAGGACAGCTCACTGTGCTTGGATCCTCCTCTCCCAGGAGCTCAGGGCACCAGGCTGAGCCCCTGGCAATGCAGGGAGAAATGCTGACAGACTGTGCTGTGCTGGGGTGACTCTCCTGGGGACAGTCCTTCTCCAGGGACCCAGCCGGGGGTGACACATGAACCCAGAGACCCCCCTGAGCCACCCCGGTCTCTGCACAGGATCACGATGGACGTCAGACAACTGAGAGTCCCTCAGCCCTGCTCATCATCCCCAACAGGGCCCTGGTGATGTGGGGCTGCACAGGGGCGCTGCACAGGTCCAGCACAGCAATTCCTTTGTGCTCCTCCCTTGTGGAATTGTGGCAGCTCCACTGCATTTGTGCAGCTTGGAACCAAGTATTCCTGCAGCAGCCACCTACAGCAGGATCAGCCTGGCCTGCTCTGGGTGGGGGAACATGCACAGCCCCTTCCCAAAGTGCCCCCCAACTCCCTGGGATGTATTCCCAAAGCTGGGAGCAGACCTGGGGAGATGCTGCAGTGACGTGTGAAACGGGAGCTGCGTAAAATCGAGCACAATAATCCCTCTGATCCCAGTGCCCCATCTGGCCCTCGCTGCATCTGCCACCCCCCTGCCCAGGAACACACACAGTCCCCTCTGAACTTTGGATGCTGTTGCATATTCACCAAAATGTGTTTGCCAGTCCCTACAACAGCTGGGATATTTAAGGCAGTAAAGAGAATTACCTGTATGTTCACTTGGTAATCTGTTGGCCCGTGTATGGATCCGTATAATCCAAACCCAACTACAAATATCCTTTTGTTTACTGAGAACCTGCAGGAACAGAGCAGGGAAGTCAGCCCAAACTTGCCACTCCTGTATTGCTTCAGTGCAAGGCTGATACACAAATACCTTCACTTGCGTTGATTTTACACCTGTGATTTAATCAAACCCACCACAGATTTAGTGCAACTTTTCCTGAGGGCTGAAACCCTCCGCAGAAACCACCAGCTGTCAGCTCACACCTCATTTTGCTGGCTCATGTGAAACACAGACCTGCACAATCCCATCACCAAACTCCAGGGTCCAGGCTCAGAAAGTGCTTCCAGACTGTGGTGAAACATCAGCACCCCAAGATGCCAGCAGGGCACGGGCAGAGCAGCCTGGCAGTGTGGAGTGGTGCCCACCCTACAGTGGTCTGTCCAGCCAGCACCACTCAAGTGTCACTGGGGATGTCACTGCTGAGCACTGGACAATTGTTCATGTGCTGCTGGGTGTTTGCTGCATTCCAGAGTTACCAGAGCAGAGCACAGGAATTCCTGCTGCCCAGGGCAGCACAGACAAGGATATTCACCCACTACAGCTCCACCTTCTCAGGCAGCACAAGTCCCAGTACCTGCCAAGCTGCCAACAGCATTTCTGCACCCATCCACCAACTCCTTCAGCCCTGAGTGTTTCCAGAACAAACACCTGGGGCAGGCTGGAGCTCCTGCTGTGCAGTCAGCATGGAGGATTGTACTGGAGCTGACCCTGATGCTGCAGAGGCTGAACTTAAAGTCAAACACAAGCTCCAAAAGGTCTCTGAGCATTAGATCTGAGAGCAGGAAGTGTCGGGAGCTGGCAGCAGTTCCCGATCCCGTCTCCTGTCAGGGGGTGATCGGACCAGAGGATCCAACCAACAGCTCCAGGGATGTGCAACAGAACCAGCAATGAAAAGGCTTAAAAATTGTCAAGAATAACATTGCTGGGAGGCCCCTTCCACCCAAGACAAAGACGGATCAGGAAAGAACCAAGGCTTTCTGATCCCCTCCTGTCTTGCTCTCGTTCCTTGGCCACACAAAAAGCACCCTGTGCCAGCCACAGCTGCCATTCCTGTTCCCAGGACTGGGCTCTGCTGGTTCCCCACAAGCTCAGGTCTGAACAAACTGGGCATCAGCAGAAAGCACAGCAGTGTTTTATCCCAACCCCTCCCTCAAACAGGGCAGGTTAAGGGGCTTCAAGAAGCCACCCTGACACTTCTGACAGAGCAGGGAGGGAGCACTGGCTCCCCGTCCCCCCCAGCCTGGTGACCCCATACATGCCCCTACAGCTACAGGAAGCCACTGAGGGCTTATTTCTGTCCTTTTCCAGAGGCTGCAGGGCCCCATTAGTGGGAAACCTTTGCCAATAGAGATACAAAGTGGCACCAACAGGCAGGGGATGCTCCTACCCAGCAGAACACTTCACACAGTGGCAGTCGGGGTCTAGCGTGGACCCGCGGGGGGTTAGGGCTGGAGCAGGGTGAGGGCTCAGGAACACGACTCTGAGGGTGCTGACCTGATCCTGTCACTAGTCCCACTGTACCCCCAGCGGCTCTCGACCTGCTGGAAGCGGCTGATGCTGCACTCCTTGCCCCGCAGGCAGCACCGCGGCCGGTCGATGAACTCCACCCGCGGCTTCGGGTTCACGGTGAAGTGCAGGAACAGGCTCACGACCTCCCGGTCCGTCAGGATCCCCGACTGGGCAGGCCCTGCACAGGGGAGGGAGCGGAGATGCCGTCAGCCCTGTGGAACCACAGAATCCTGGGATATCCTGAGCTGGGAGGGATCCACAAGGATCATCCAGTCCAACCCCTGGCCCTGCCCAGGACACCCCAACAATCCCACCCTGTCCCTCAGAGCGTTGTCCAAACGCTCCTGGAGCTCTGGCAGCCTTGGGGCCGTGCCCACTGCCCTGGGGAGCCTGGGCAGTGCCCCAGCACCCTCTGGGGGAAGAACCTTTCCCTGAGATCCATCCCAACCCCCCTGGCACAGCTCCAGCCCTTCCCTGGCTCCTGTCCCTGGTCCCAGAGCAGAGCTCAGCGCCTGCCCCTCCGCCTCCCCTCGGGAGGAGCTGCAGCCCCCGAGGAGTCTCCCCTCAGTCTCCTCTGCTCCAGCTGAACCAGCCCAGTGCCCTCAGCTGCTCCTCAGACCCTTCCCCTCCAGACCCTTCCCCAACTCCACGTCCCTCTTTTGGACATTCTCCAACCGCTTTACATCCTTCTTATACTGTGGTGCCCAAATCTGCACAACCAGAAGGGATCCCCTTGGGATTTACATGGGATTTACAAGCCTGACTTGCAGCTGGGAGCGAGCCAAAGCCCCATCACAGATGGAATTCCACCGGTGCATCAGGACATTAAACCCCAGACAAACGTGCTGCCTGCCCTTTATCCACACAGCAGTCACGGATCACGGAGCCTCCGCGTGGAGCACGGACATGGAACAGCAACTGAGCACCCAGCTCTGGGGAGCCCAGCTGCATCTGGCTGCTAGGACTGGATTAAGAACCTAAAGCAGGCAGCTAATCCTTGCTCCACTCTCTCTGGAGATGATAACACTGGCAAGAGACAAGAATTTCCAACATCCACCCCGATGGCTGAGACGATGGAAGCCCACGAGGGGCAGTGAGAGGGAATGTCACCCACTCACCTTCAACTCAAAAGGTTTAGGAGTGTTTTTACTCAAGACAAATGTTCAGCTCATGCCCTGCTTTGAGTCCCCCCTTCCCTCAGGCATTTAATCCATATCCTGCATGTTTGTTGCAGGACCCAGGGAAAAGGGCTGGTGGGTTTTAGCAAGACTTGAAACACATTCTCAACTTTTCTCCAGTAACAAGATGTTTTTCCAAAGTCATCACAGAATCACAGAATGGTTTGGGTTGGGAGGGACCTTAAAGCCCATCCAGTTCCACCCCCTGCCATGGGCAGGGACACCTTCCACTAGCCCAGGTTGCTCCTTTGATCCAACCTGGCCTTGGACACTTCCAGGGCTGGGGCAGCCACAGCTGCTCTGGGCAACCAACTCAGTGACTCTAAACTCAAGCTTTGCAAACTACTTCAAACAGCTTCAAAAGTGAAACCAGCTAAAAATGAGTATTTTAGGCTAAGATTTAAAAGCCTCTCTGCACCTCTATTTGAACAGAAACAAGACCACTGTGTACTGAAGCAACAACAGCATTAAGTGCTCTTCAAGGTGGGGAGTAAATTCCCAGCTACTTGTTGGTCCAAAACTACTTGCAGTGGGTTAAATCCAGCTCGATGTTACCCAGACAAAACATGGTCCAAGGCTGCAATGGGCAGAGAGGGAAGAATTTAAGGAAGTCAACTGTTCACAGGTAAATGAGCTTTTGGATACTTTGCTCAGCAAAAATGAGCCTCATTGATCGTGTCTGAACTTATCCCAGGTTGCTGCAACTCACTTCTTCAACGTTCCAAATTCCCTGCTCTGGGGGAAGGGAGGGACACATTTGCCAGTTAAAACATCTTCATGCAAAACCCCACGTTGGATACCAGATTATAAAATAAACTGGTGAAACCAGTGCTGTAAAATTCCTCTTTTTTTTTTTGGCTTTTGGGGGAGAGGGAGGGCAGAGGGGAGAGGTTTCCCCCTCCTGCCACTGCTGTGATCACCACAGAAATCAGAGTCACTCAAACTCAGAAAAAGGACAAAGCTGAAGGAATTCCAAGGGAGTCCCTTGTTTAAGGAACAGTTGATCAGTGCAGCCTCTCAGGTTTGGGGGTTTTGTTCGTCTTTGAGGTTGAAGTGGATGAAGAAAACTGAAAGAGTTTCTCTCAAAGCACAGAGATGTGGCAGAGGCAGTTTGGGACAGACAGCACTGGGAAGGGCACTGGCATCCCCAGCTCAAGGGCTTCAACCCAAAGGTGCCAAAATTAACACATTCCTCCCAGAGAGAGAATGGTACAAAATCAGAAGGGTTGCAAGAAATGAGGTCTGTAGAAAAACACAAAGATCTGCCTCCCTGACCAGGCTGTTTCTGAAGAGATCCACATCCCTACGGCCCCATCTCAGCTGTGAGAGGCCAAAGAGAAAGTGGGAACCAAGTTTTAACACAGAGTTACTTCTTACTACCATCCCTCCTCAGGTGGGAACAGGGACACAAAGGACTGAGCAGCTGCTGCCATCAGCCCTGAGGAGTGCCCTGCTCAGGGACCCTGTTTGCTCCTTCCTTCACAGCACTGCAGCCTAAAACAAGCTGCAGTTTTGGAAATGGCTCCACTGTGTCTTTCAGCATGAAAACTATTCCAGCTGATTGCCAGCTTCCAACCCCTGGGGAATCACCAGAGGATGAAGTCAAAGACAGCAGGCAATGAAAACAAAACAAAGCAGTCTTTAGTGAAAACTGTTAAATGATTTAGATGTCTTTGTGGAGCAGGATCTGAATGTAAACTCGAAAAATGCTTTGGGACACAGACTAAACAACACCAAGCCTTCAGCTCACAGGACATTTGGCAAGTTTTTCTGATGGGGAGCTCTGCTCTGAATGGCAAGACCTTCACCACTGTATTACAGGCAGAGGATGGGGAGAAACACCCCCATTCCTCTTTGGGGGCAGGCTACAATCAACACCAACTGTCTGCAACTCCATTAGCTCTGTGTAGCTGAAATGCTGGGAGTGCTTGGAAAGGGAAGCAGGTGAACCCCAGTTTGCTCTCAGGTGAGTGGGACAGTGACCATCCAACCATGCCATGAGGACAAACAGCCAGCTGGGATCCCTCTGCTCCTCCTGAGGGAGCACCACAGGCTCTAAACCAAGGGAATGGTCATGGATGAAAACAGCACTTACACAGAAAATCTTGTAAATCAGTAGGAATGAATCATAGAATCCCAGAATGGATTGGTCAGGAAGGGACCTTAAAGTCCATCTCATCCAACCCCAGGGACACCTTCCACTATCCCAAGTTGCTCCTGTCCAACCTGGCCTTGGACCCTTCCAGGGCTGGGGCAGCCACAGCTTCCCTGGGCAACCTGTGCCAGGGCCCCACCACCCTCACAGGGAACAATTCCTTCCCAAAATCCCATCTAACCCTGCTCTCCTACAGCTTAAGGCCATTCCCCCTCTTCCTGTCACTCAAGGCCCTCATCCAAAGTCCCTCTTCAGCCTTCTTGGAAGCCTCCTGTAGAGAGAGTGATGGGGGAGATTGTGGTGGAATGGGGGTCAATGGGGGATCATTTCCTATCTGATTTCCTACAGGATACCCAGAGAAAAAGCCCCTTTCACGTCACTTGACTCTCTGCAGCCGAGAGAAAGCAAAGCCCAGGGTTGCCAAACACGCCTCTGGTTCAGTTACCTGCTGCAAACTCCTCAATAGTCATCAGTGGGAAGCGGATAAGGGAGAGAGCTTTGCCCAGAACCTTCCGCTTGTTCTCTGGAATCACCTGGAGCTGCTGCCGCTGACACTCGGCCTCGGACCAGCGAACCACGGCGTTGAAGAGCCGAACCTCCCGGATCCCCAGCGTGTCCCTCTCCAGCACTGCCACCAGGGTGTCTGCAA